TTTCCCTTAATATTATACCATTTTTTCTCCCTGGAGCTTTTAAAAGACTGTTAGATACTGTAAAAGACAGTAACAGGCTTGCCTAATTCTTGTAAGTAGAGTTCTGAGATCCACAGATCTCTGATCTGTGAATATGTAACATATCCATACATTCGAGCAACAATCTGATGAAATAAGCAATACCACTTCTCAAATGTCCAAACTGTTGAACTGATAGACTATCCTGTGAGAGTATCCATCACTGAACTAACTTAAATCAGTCCCCAAAGTGCTTATTGATCAGCCATCAAGTACACGCTGAAAAGAGAGAGCACGGTTGTAATTTTGCAGATGCTGAACTGTCATCATGACATATGCTACACTTCCCTGCCGCAGTGAACAAGCAGTATACTAGTACCCTTCTGAAATTAAATGGCAAGTTTATCTCCTATTAATTTAGCAGGTTTATTCTGCAGATCCAGAGATGTAAAATACAGATTTCTGTCAGATAACTAAGACTACAAGCAGATGAAAAAAAAAGTTATGCTACCCAAACTTTGTACTCTCTCGTTTGTAGGTGACTGACTGTTCACTTAGTGATATAAATGTCTTGTTTTGTGTGCCAAATTTTCAGCATCATTCATAATCGCTCAGCAAGTAGGCTTAGGGCAGAGGACAGCACTTAGCACAGGGAAGGGCACATTAGAGTAAAACCTTAGATAATTATTTTATTTAAACCCACAATTGTTATCTGGCAAATCCATCAACAAGACGGTAATTAGTGCTGTACTTCTGTGGGCTACAAGAGAGGAATGTTCCCATAGCAAGGTGCTGGCTTTCCTTTTCTACATACGTACTTCTTTTCTAGAAAACTTCTTAACCCAGCATAACAAAGACTGAATGCTACAAAGCTGTAATGTATTGGAATTACTGTGCGCTTTATTTTTATAATAAAAGTGCATAATTAAGAGCTTTTTCATAGTGTTTCTCAGGAAATTGGCATATACCAGAACAGTGGTTCATCCCTGTTGCAGTTACCATGTTTGAATTGCTTCAGAATTGTCTCTGTCATGAGTTCTTATCAAAAGGTGGAGTTGCAAGGGATACATTAAATCAGGTTAGCCAATACTTTCCCCAAGAAACAAGCAAAATCTTATGCCAACTTTACTACATCGGTGGCCTCTGGCAGTTAAGCAGGCTCAGTAATAGCTCTTTTCAGCATCATGTTTGTTTCCAAATCAACCTCTGATGTATTTCTAGGAATTGTCACTGATATATTATTACCAATACAGAAGTACCAATTTCACCTTCTGAGATCTCTGGTGTGCTACAGTAAGTTAAACTTAACTTTTCTACAGAGAATCCAGATTCTGTGTTATTTCAGCAAAGAAAAAAGAAAATCTGGCAGCAATTACCTTGAGAAATTAAATAGCCAAGATTTTTAAAGAGTAAGATAAAGCAATGGAAAATGCAAGCAGCACAGCAGGCCTGTCTTATTTAATATTAAATTGTTTGCTTTGGACTCTCCCTACTTTTTCATTTTTCTGAAAGCCTTACATGTGTATTGCTTGTGAAAAGTGTGATGCCAGTAGGAGTAATCTGGAAAGCCAAGTGGAAGACATGAAGATGGATTTTTATGATGTGTATCACTTTTCTCTATCATTTTTTCTTATTCTTATTACCGGAATAGCTCTGTATTTTAGCGAACTTGTTACCCCTTTGATCCCTCCCTGATTAGAGGTCATTTATGAATCTGCCCTGACCCCTAAATAAATCCTGTGGAGATCTCCCTCTTCTGCAAGAAAAATGTTTGCCTGCCTTCTGTTACCTGCCATTCCAAATCACTGAGACACTATTGCCATGTTCCAGTACTTAATTCAACGATGCAAGATATTTTAGCTTTCCAGAGAAATGGAAAAAGAGTTTGACTGGGGAGCTCTCTCTGTTGCAAAGAGGATCTATTATAAAATCGATAATCTGTTGGCTCCTTAAGTCAACATGCAAGAGGATACCTAAATCTCTAAGTTCACAAAAACTATCAATGCAAACCTCCTACAGCTTTCAGTTTGACCAACTCTTTTCCCTGTAATTGCCAGGAAATAAACTCTGCTTTGTGAGCCCACGCAACTAACTGGGCTCCTCTTTCTCCATCCCCACTCACTCAAAAGATACACCTCACTATAGTTTCAACTGCTTATATTCTTATGTAAAACATGGGACTCATTACTAGTATACATTGGCTGACAGGGTAGGAGGGAGATGAGTAAGAGGAAATGCAGCAGCTGGGATGCTGCAGACCTGAAAATACTGACTGGCTGGCACAGCAATGGAGAAGCCATGCACAATTAAAAGTACTCGCCACTCATAAATTACTGAACTTGCAAGATACAGAATGAAGCTCAGCTATTTAGTTACTATTAATAATCAGTTGCAGGTTTTTTAAACATGCCATTTTTTCTAGATCATTCTAGATGAACTGGTTTCAAGATACCTGGTGCCTGAGAAACCTGGAAGTAGGTGTGGTGAGGCTTGAGGTCTGGCTGGCATGGTAGAGATGGGTGGTAGAGTTTCTTGTCATTTGGGTTTGAAACAAGCATTTAATTCAGCCTTTGATCCCATAGCATTGGAGAAATCTAGGCATGTAATGTCTTAATACATGTGCCTAAGGGACCCACTCTTTATCTGAGAAGTTCAAGAAACAACAAATAAAATACACCATTTCTTTGCATTGACTATACTCCTGTGCCTCCAAACAAAAACCACTTACTACCTTAGCTATTAGTGATTTTAATTCCAGTCTCTCATTCTCTTCAGTGCACAACAAACCCTGTTTGTTCAGCTTTTAATTTTGGAAGGTGACCTTAATTTGCAGACCTTTCTTGTATGATAAGGAATGATGATAATAAGTAAACACATTTATTAAACCCTTTCTCATACACATTAAAGGCCCTGATACTTTCCCCTCATTCAAAGGCTTTAGAGGTGCTTAAAGTCCAACAAGGCTTCATATTTTAACAGTTATTCTTCATGAAGGTACCATTCCTTTAAGAAGAAACCAGAGCCAAGTAGTAGGGAGAGACTTTGATATTAGTATGTTATTCACAGATCTGAAATCAATTTGCTTCCTTTTGGACAAAAGGATTTATCTTACAATAGTAAAATTGATATATTTTTATCCGTACCCCCAATAAATCATGGGGCATACAGGAATATGACTTCTCCTTTCTGTAAGTGACTGAGAAACAGACCTCCCAGAGATTAAAACTGTAGATACTTGTTTTGGTAATGCCACCATGATCTTATTCCGTAAACAGCAAACGTCACACAGAAATAGAAACTGGAGCGTGAGATTTCCATCTGTCTAGATATTATTCTACCTTTATGTACACAAGCAGATGTAATACACAGTTCTACTATATGACCATTTAAACATACAAGCAGTGCAACAGATGCTACTCTGCACCATACATCACTTTACTAAGCATGGGTTGTATGTGGCTAAATGTGGGCATCTACAGCTGACCAGCAAGTCCTTTGCAATCAATGGAAAGCTGGACAATGGAATTAATGGTGTAGATCATTTTATCGGAAGCAGATGCTTGCATTTGATCAGACAAAAGGGTTTGATTTCCCCATACTAAATTTTCAATGACTAAAACCGGAACCCAGATGACAAGCTGAGATATTTACACCTACAATGCAGATGCCTGAGAATTAGGTGAAGTAAATTCCTCACAAGAAACCATTCTGCAGCAGTAACCTAATTCAAATTGTGCACATGCTCTGCATTTTATTAACTTCAAAAAACTTCCTATTTTACAAAAATCTTAAATTCTGAGAAAGGAATTAGCATTCACTGGAAGCCATAACATGGAAGTTAATATCTAAATGAATCTGTAGCCATCAGTGGGAACATCTAGCACTGGTGTGAAGAAAGAGAGTGAAAATACTGAAGTCCAGTCCTGCAGATTTTTGCTGGTGATTCAGCAAAATATTTCAGCACATGCTTTACTGTTTTCCTATCCTGGGAGCACAGGCACTAATCTTGTGCCTCACCAGGCCCTGGAGTTATGCCACTGTTTAATTGAAACAAGACTATCTTCAGGGCTTACTCACCACTGAAACCCCACTTGTGCAATGGCTCCTACAGTCCCTGATCTCCTGCAGCTGTGTGGATTGTCTGCGGCTGTCGTTACTTTGCAGAAGCTGATCCCAGCATACTTCACTGACTACAGGCCTGAGCCAACAAGGTTTTGCGGTATAAAATCAGTGGTGAATTCAGAAGGAAAAAACCCCAACACTTTAGGTAGGTTTTAGGAATCGCTGTCTGTAACTACAATCCAAAATAACCCAGGGCAGTGAGATGGGTCTGATTTTCTTTGGATCTCCTTTTTGCCACCTAAGTTGTTCTTGAGCTCAAATGTTCTTCAACCCATCCACCGATGGGTGCACAATTTTCCCTAAGTCAAAAGAAAAACCTACAAGATGAAGAAAAGTAACATTTGACTGACCTCTGCCTGAGGAGAGCTGGTCTCTGCTATCTTCCTGAACTAAGATCACAAATTGTTTCTTGATGTAAATATTGTGGCTTCTTTTTACGGTCTCTGAAATCTTGAGGATAGGGAAAAGAGAAGCCTAGAGATTTCCCAAGGGGTTAGCAGCAGCTTGCCAGAATGCTCATATTGGGGTTTTTTTTTTTGCCTCCCTAAATGGTATGAAAAGCCTTCACAACCATCCATTTTTCATTATTTGCTTATCTCAGTCAGGAGGAGAGGAGGGCACATAAGTAACATTTAGATAGCACAGCACTGGATTTGCAAGCACCTATGATTTTTACTGAAGTGTAGTCCATGAGTCAAACCAAGCAGATGGCAGCATGGACAAAAACAAGGCAGAAAAGGAAGGAGCTTTGCTCTGGTAAGCTCCAAGTAGACATGTCTTATTAATAACCAACAAAACTTAAAATAAACTAGCTTAGCATAGTCTGGGGCAGGGGGTTGGGGGAAGGATTGAAAGCATTAGTGTATGTATTCTAAACAAGTGAGTAGTCTTTCCAAAAGAGATAGTTCAGACTTGTGTAAAAAGACAAAAATAACCATCTCCACTGGGGGGTAACTTACTAGATGAAAGACCATTTACAGCTTAAGAAGCAGCCTGATATGGAATTTGTATAAGATAGCTAAGTAAGTAACTGTACTTACCGTGTAAAGCTCGTTAAGTACTTTCATTAAGTCTTCATGAAGCTGAAACGCAATCTCTTTGCTCTGTAATTAGAGAGAAATCATTAGAAAAAGGCATGCAAAAACTTGCTTCTTGACATTCGTACTCATTGTTCATCCAAGATAGTGAATGCAATGTTGCTCACAAACACACTGTTCTGACAGATTTACAGAGCACTAAAAATACTGATTCAGGGATGCAGAGGCAGACAGGTAACATCTGGACACAAGACTTCTAAAAGGCAACACAGAAGAAATTTGAGAGGTTTTCCTATGACGCATCAGGAAATTAGGTGCCAACAGAAAGGGTGAAATTCAGGATTAATGTTATAAGCCTTTTTAATGGAACAGACTGTGTACTATTTTGTAACTGCTATGATATATACAAAACCTAAACCATGTAGAATGTGATATTCTAGAGGGACATCCCACCCAATTTTACATCTACAATAGTCTCTGTTTCTCAGCACATGCAACTATCTAAATATTTATGCAAGAAATAATTGTGACTCCTCTTTGAAACAGATACTGCATAATATTCCACAAAGCAGGCTGCTGAAACAGCTTTGTTTAGCTTTTCTGGACTGTGTCTTTACTTTCATTCTGACCCAGAAAAAAAAGAAATACTTAGTGGTAATTATTAACAAAAGCAAGTATGTCAAAATAAAAGTATTTAATTTGAGTCTCATTCAGATATATTCCTTGTTTGTTGTCCCTAGTAGTTCAATCAGATGAAAATTGTGGCAACTGTGCAAGAATTGAAAGCATTTGTACCATTGCCTTTGGAAAACAGCTATAGAATAGACCTACGGGACTTGGCAAACAGCCTGGCTACATTTCTTCTGCAATGCTCAGCATTGTTACATCCATGCTGGAAATGTCAGCATTATTTTCTGTGAATAAATTGATAATTAGCTCAGCTTCTAAAAACTCCAGCTTCGTAATAGATAATGGCCTTAGCTATGAAAGTAGTTTGTATTTGCATAGAAGCCAAAGGAAAATCCTCAGGGACAACTCATCTTCAAAGCTGCTAACACATACTTGGCCATCTCTAAAACACCTGCAGGAATAATGGTTTCTGAATGAGAATTTCCAGTGCAACAAATATGAACAAGGAGGAACCACTCCACACATCCCACCCACTGTGTCTTCCAGAAGGCTGAAACTGACACATACAGTAGCTGGAACACAGCATTTTCAATTATTTCTCCTATTCCTATTGTTGTACTCTGGACAGTATTTTAAAGAACCTGCCGTGTCAGTCATCAGTATTCACTCCAGTCCTTACATGCAAAATGATTTTTAACCAACAGGAAGCTAGAAATATAAATTAAACCACACTTCAGTGAAATGCTTTTATTCCCAAGGGCATTGGCTGTAGTAGCTAAGGCACAGTGAGACAGAGGCTTTGAAGATGAGTTATACGGAACTACTATGAAACTTTCCTTAGTGCTTATACTTTTCAAAGTCTGGTATTTTTCATGAGGTATGCTCTACTACTGAAGTATCTAGAACATAAGGCTTACTACTTATTTCTTTGCAACTATCAGATAATTTTCCTTTAATATTAAGGACAAAAATCTGTATGCGTAACAGTGCCCAGTGTGCTTGTGAAGAATTGGAAAAGGACTGCAGATTTGCAAGCTGCTAAGCTTTAGCAAAAATTCTGAATTGCTTTTCATTGCTTTACATTGGCACCCTGCCTTTAAAAGTCAGCAGCACAGCTCTGAAACAGCTTACACATCTCCTCCAAGCTCCAAGAAGTGGAGGCCACCTGTTTTCTCTTGGATAGCTGTTTCTATAGTGCCGAATACGAGTGGTCTGATTTTTAAATCACTTTAGCAGTAAGAAGGACAAATAAGATAGTTGACATCAAGATCAGAAGATGAAACATCTCAAAGCTCATGACAACTTAAGCCCTAAATACAGCAACACTGATTCCAAGGCAGCATGCCTTAACCTGGCAGTGCAAAAGTTTGTTTGAGAAGTTGAGACAGAAAACCTCAAGCCAATTTTCTCTTTACTCTTAGCAGATTTTGTCGTAAGCAAAGCACACAGACATTCATTGAAGGATGTGTCCTCCTTTTCTGCTCTTTCATTGCACCTTACTGCAAATAGACAGTAGAGTTGAGGATTCAGGGAATGATTGCTGTTTACACATTTCTTCTCTTTGCTCCTGTAAAGCTCTGTCCAGCACTGAAGCACAAGTGGTCCAGCCCTCAGGATTTACTGGCCACCATGCATACATGATCTCTTTCAGGTAACACATTGATCAATGGTGAATTTGAAAGTGAATGGAAGAGATCACAGTAGAGGAAAGAGGGACATACTTTTAGAAAAGGCTTTAAAATGGAAAGTGAAAAGACAGGGAGGGAGGTGATCAGCAAAAGGAGTAAAAATTAGGAAAAGACAGCCTAACAATGCCACAGGATCACAGATGAGTCATCCTTCCACCAGTTCATGTGGGGACTCTAACCTGTGGAGGGTGCCTCTAGTGATGGATAACGTATCAGTTGCTGCTTCTTTCTAATGAAAGATTTTGTACGAACTGACAAATAAAAATCAGGAAATTTGGCTACCTTAGCAGTGTAAAAGGGATTTATTTTCAAGAACCAACACATTTTACATTAGCATTTAAGATCAAGAAATACTGACTTGAGTAGCAAGCAATAGGGCTTTTAGTTTGTAATATATAGTGCGTAAGAGCACCAGATAAAAGGTGCATTTATTTTCAGCAGTTAATGGTTCTCCTATTTCTCTTTTATGCTACCTATCCCCTGCAGCAGCTCAGCATGTCTGAACTGCGTGCTCCTCTAGGAGCCTGTCCTCAGCGTAGTCAAACAGTAGTACGCAAGGTGCAGCACACATTTTCCTGAAGCTGAGTTGATAGCTCTAATCAGGCCATTAAAACCTGACAAATGATCATTGAGGTGCGTCTTTATTACTATGTCCTAGAGAAACGTATTAGCATCTATTAACCAAAAAAAATCGTAGAATCATAGAACGGGTTGGGTTGGAAAGGACCTTAAGATCACCTAGTTTACAAAAATGTTAGAGCACATGAAAACTCTTCCTGAAAATACTAATGTAGTGCAAAGCATTAAGAGAAAGTAGTGTATTTTTTCCACCTGATAGTAGGATAGATCACACCCATGCACCAAGTAAGTGTACCTAAGTCACCCTTTCAGTATGTGCACAACTTCCAACATATCAGTGCTCCTACTAATGTTATCAAGATCTATATTTATGGATTAATGTCTGAGAAACTGAAAGAATTATTCCACATTAATACCCTTTCATTGAAGTCTGTAAGAATTTTCCATTTCAGTTAGAGCATAACTGAGTAGCCAAACTTTACTCTCTCTCTTCTTTTTTTTCTTTAAACTGAAATTTTAGAGTCAGTTCAGTTCTTCCTGGAACTCTTTAGTGTCTGTATTTAGCACACACAATGCTACTCTCAGTTACATCATTTAAGGAAAATATTCTGTGACTATTGCTTTTAAATGAATCTCCTGCTGGTCCCTGGGGGAAGTGATGTGCAAACCCTTCTTTTAAGGAGCTTCAATGAGCTGCAGTGACACTGACGCAACCAACACACAGTAAAATGCCAGTCTATAGCAACAAATAGTTTTGCTATGCTTCTAAACCTGTAAATGCTTAAGGAAATCATGCAAAAAAATCTCAATATATGCCACAGTCTTTATAACATCAGACAGATTTGTCAGGTAGTCATATCCCTTGTTAATAGCCAGATTATGGGACTAAAATATTTATTGTGCTTGGCTTCTCCAGCATCTTTTACTGTAAACACTGGAAGATATGTTCATCTTGGCTCATTACAGTTTCTGTCCAAAGAAAATACATGTTTATAAATTATAAATATACAAATCTGCTAAAGGATTTTGTGGGTTTGTGTTTATATGGTTGATTATTAATGCTGGGGTAACCAGAATCACTGCATGAAATGTTCTGCATAATATTTTTCCCTTCTGCTTGACATTTTTCCTTATTACTTTATTCTTTAATTGTCCCCATGAGGCCATCTACCCCATCTGCCTGAAGAAACATGCAAGTATGCAAGGTTTGAACTCTGCTGCTTTATGTTTGTAATTTTATGTGCAGCATGAAGGCCAGGCATGAACAGTAATCTGTACTGCTTTTATATGCCAGCAACTAAAAAGAAGAGCTTAAGTGCCTATCTGGAAGTCTGAGACCTGACATAATATAATCAGATAAATGCCACGAAATCTCTGAACTAGATTGTATCTCTGTCCCGCATTTAGTACGTTTAAACAGATGCTGGTTCCTGACACCTGGAAAAAAAAAGTGGCAATGAGCTCCTGAGAGACAATATCTACATGTTAAGTGGGACAACCTAGACAGGAAAGCCCTGTACAATCATGTACCTGAATAAAATATATCCCGGCCCATCAGAAAATGTAAGGTAGAACCAATAGAGATCATTTCACCAAAGCAATCCAAATGTTGAAACAAATGTATATAGATGTACACAAAAGGAAGAACCAGAATAAAGAACAGACAGAGAGACAAGGGCAAGGTGCAAAGACCAAGGAGCACAGACAGCCCTCATCACTGCATTTCATATAGACCAACACTGGGTACTATACACACCTTCTACAGAAAGACTAGAGAAAGGGGTTGCTACATACTCATGACTTGGTGCTGTATCCCACAGAGAAGACATCAGCAGGAGAGGGAACAAAACAATACTGGTAAGCATGGCCATGAAATTAGGAAGTCTGTTTGATCTATTCATTACTACAATTCAAGCTGGGGCCAATCTTATGACAGCATGCAAAACAGTATCTTCTAGAAAATATTGGTCTCAGTTCATGGAAAAGTTTCATTTGGGCACCTAATTGCCTACCAGTGAGGTGGAAGAAGCCAGTAAATGTTACCACTGAGAAGATGAATGGGAAGCCTCATCCTCTCAGGAGAAGAGAGGGAGAGAAAAAAAGGCAGCAGAAAGAGCCAAAAAAAGATCAGAGTAACTTTGCTATTGTCTCCTCATCTTGCTTGTGAGCACTGGGGCAATCTACTGAGACACTTTCCCTTTCTCCAGACATGGAAGTGGAACTAAAGCACCTCTAAGGATGCAGAAGCTGCTGCTGCAGAACTGAGGGAGAACTAAAACAAGCTGATAATAGTGATGCGTAACACTATTAGGTATAACTGCAATATATACATTTAAATGATTTAATTATTGAATATAGAGGTTTGATTAGCTGGTATTTGGAAATTACTTAAAAAGACATTAAATGCTCCTATGTGCAATGCTATGAGAGCCAGTGGAGTACAGATATGTTAGATGGGTGTATCTCCTGCTCTTGACTATGGACTGCAGTAAGATATTACGCATGGACTTGTTAAATCTTTATTTTGAATTCTTCATGTTACTACTGTTCTTATTATTTACATTTATTACTTAGAAAGAATACATGTTTCACAGAACAGTATGATCATACACAAGTGTGAAAGTATCCGCAGGATATAACTTGTCTCTAATCTGAAATCTGTGAACAGTGAACAAATCCCACATACTTCATACGGATGACACCCACTGAGCCTGCTTATGGTTTTCTCTGACAGAATTTTATTCCAAATCCAGTCTTTTTCAAAAGTAACCTACAGAAAGTGACAGAAATGGGTTAAATGTTCTGTTTGATGCTTACAGATCTCCAAGAAATTCCATGTTATTTTCTTTAGGGAGAATACAATTTTGATGGAGGAAAGTGTTGGATATCACCTTTCTCATTCTAAGTGCACCTTCTCTTTGCTCCTGTGACCTTCCTCCTGCAAGGGTGACTTGCAGTACAGGACACATGTTTTGCACCTAATCTCTTCCTGTTGCCTGGTGGACATCCATTAAGGAGTTCTGGGGCAGTCTGTGACATATCTTAAGTTAGACTGCTTGTTCACATTTGACAGAAATTATCATGGAATCACAGAATAGTTTGGATTGGAAGGGACCTTTAAACACTGTTACAGTTGAAGCTGCCCATTTGGACTAAACATGTTCTTCACCAGTAAGGCAAGACATTTGCTAACAGCTTCACCTTCTGCACAGGTCTTGGTTTTCTCTCTGTCTAATGTTGTTCACCTCATTTCGTAACTCCCTTCCCTTTTCACAGAAGAGAAACTGGAGCTTCATCATTCAGGGTATAATCAGTTCTGCAGCTAGGAACTAACAACATATAAATCACCAGTAATCTACCACAAACACCACAGGAAGAACCACACACATAGGGAATTACTGGAAATACCAGCTTTCTCAAAGAAGCATCAAGTCCTGACAGATGGTCCTAAAAATGTGTGCACAGAACTGACACTGGTGAACAACCACTGTCACATTCAGGCCACAGGCCCATGAAGCTCACTTACAGCATGGTGAGGTGCCATATGTCTTCCTGCCACCCTGCCCCTCACATTACTAGTCTGGCTCAGATCCCTTCACACAGACTTTGGTGAGCTTACTCTGTCAATTCTCCACCTCAGCTAACAGCTGATTGATGTGACACTTTAATGCTGAGGGTCAGCTGGCAAACCCTGCTGAAAGGTAGGATAGGGCTGCTGAGGATCCGGGCTCCACTAATGTGAGCTCCAGCTTATGCACAGCAGGACTCCCTCAATTTCCCTTCTCTTAATTCCCCTGTAGAAGACCCAACTTACGAATAAAAAAGCATGAGCAGCTGCTTGTGCTTCTTCAAGAAGCTTTGCTAGAAAGGGAAAATTTGAAAAGTTGCACGTTCCTCGGCACAACATGGAGGAAAGACAAGTCTGTCAGGAAGATGGGACAATATGCTTCCTGTTAATGCACTAAAAATGTCCAAGTATTTTCCTCCTTCTGAGAGATAAGCTGAAGCAATCTCCATTAATAAATTATGAGTAAATAAAGGAGGACACACACTTCTCCACAGAAAACTTGATCTAGATTTTTTTGTACAGTCCACCTGGAAAGAAAAGAAGGAAAAAGATTTCCAGTGCTAAAGAACTGAACTACGCTGAAAGCAAGCAGGCTAGTCTAATAATGTACACCTAGTGAAGAAGAGATTTCTGTGATATGAAATAAACAACTGAAAAACTATTCCAGATTTGATACCAAAAAATTTCTACTTGTCCATGCAAGTCTGAGATATCTCCACATAGTACTGCAGCATGATCAAATTTCTTTTCCCATTGTCTTTTTAACTTCTGTAATAATTGTTGAAATTAGTAAGTTTGTGAACTAGTTTTATGCATCAGACATATTATATGAACAGACCATTACTGATTAAGAAATTATACATTTCAACTCTATTACTGTTACAGGTTTTAATGTACACTAATAAATTTGATTTCATGCTTTTACGTTTTTCCTCCAAGTGCAACCTATGTGCTCCCTCAATGATTCTTCTTCCCACCCCATTGCTATCTGTATAGGACTGTGGTCAAGTATATGTGAAATCAGTTCCCTGTTTTGAAATATTATTCGGGCACCCTTGCCATCATTTAGTCACAGACTTTACATCCTTTAACCTTTACTGTTTTTGAACTCTTTTCAGTATGACGCTTGCCTACCAGCATCCCACTGTGACCAATGGGTACACATTTATAATCTATTTTTATTTCAGAACATTATAACGATGACTACAAACACATTACGCAGATCTCAAACTAAGACTGCTCAGAGTGCTTGCTTAGCACAAGAGGGATTTACACATTGTATGTGTTATGAAAACAAATAATGGGCATACAACAAGGACAAACATGTAGAGAGACAATGCTTAAACGATCTAATAGAAATAGTTAAGTTATCAAAAGTGTATGTTCATATTTAATATTGAGAAGGGATGGAAACACTTTTAGGAGCATTGCAGCATACAGTACCATCTTTATGCCATGAGGCACACCTTTACTTTGGCTTGAATCTGTTTCTCGTGTAACAGAGTTACAATGAAATACTGTTTATACAAATAATTCATTAATACCGCATTACTATTTTGGGAGTCCTAAGCACGAACTATTTCCTTTCTGCATGGGTAGACAAGCATGCTTTTGAGAGAATAGGCTTTTTTCCCTGCCTTTTGGATATTTGCAATTCAGCTCTTAAGGTCACCAGCATATACGGCACATTCCCAGGCATTTCAGCACTAAGGATTTGCTCCGTGAGAACAGTCATGAAGAATTTATACATGTGCTAAAACAGATTTTATGCTACGTGTGCTGAATCTTCTCCTCAAATGCTACCTATTAGGACACTTTTGCCTCCCTCACACATCTTGCAAGTCCATCTAGATAACTGCAGGAGAGGCATTACCTTCTTGAACATTCTGGTGGAGTCTTCACTTATCTGCATAAATCGCATGATCACGTTGTTCAGGTAGATATCGCTCAGTGTTGCATGGTCTTTGCTTTCTCTTCTCACTTGGTTCAGGAGTAAGTACCAGCAATTCACCGGTGACAAGAGGTTCTGATCTTTCCTAAGGATACACACATGTATTATGTATAGAAATATAAAAGTTGCATTATTAACACAAACATGTCCCTGACATTTACAGTCCTAACTTGTTCTGTAAAAATGGTTGCTTCTGAACAGCTGGTCAATCCGTGCTTGGAGTAACTCAGGTTAGGCAAGCTTCAGATCACTTTTAAGACACATTTTACAAATCCCATGAGGCATGGACAAAAAGATATAGAAAAAGTGTAAGAATTTTGAAGACTGCAAGCCACCTGAAAGTACAAAAAAATATAAATCTTTCCACAAAGTTCACAATTGCTTATGGATGGAGCACATGTTTATTCGAAAATCAATAAAGATCACTGTTGAAAGAGTAACAGTAATTAATCTTTGACATTAGAAATAAACAAGCACTGCAAGCGCATCCCAAATCCTTCATGAGTAATATCACAGGTGTAGCTGTTTTACTGCAATGCATTTGTATAACTACTTAACAGTAGTTTATGTCACAAGCATACATATTCTGTGATCAGCATTCATAAATACAGTGCTACTGCCAATCCCAGATGGTTCAATTACAAGACAAATAGCAGGACCAGACTTTTTGCATAGCAGTCCAGTTCAGAATTTCCTTGTCAGGCTTTTTGTATTGTAGGCCCACTCCAAGCTTATAATACTGCAAATAGCAAAATCACAGATGACTTCTTATTTCTTTCATACAAAGCAAAATAAAAATGTATGTAGTTTAACAACAGTTTCACAGCCAACAATAACCTATTTATAAAATTTGCCTTGTGATCTTATTCAAATTTTAATTTCAAGTTTGCCTTGCAATTAAGTGCTTGAGAAACTTGCTGCTCTTTTTTTTTTTTTTTGTTCTTTTTTTTTTTTTCCTCTGTTGTGCAGGGATATTCCTCTAGTCAAAAGGATCAAGCCTGTGAAGATAAAAACGGGCAGAGGTAGTGATGAATTGAGGGAGAAACTCCTTTAACTCTTGGTAAATTGTTCTAATAATTAACTCTTCTCACTGTTAGAAACATGCCCTTTAATTCCTCATCTAATTGTCTACCTTTAGCTTTTACCCTCAGAATCAAAGCAATGATGAATTATTAACAGACAAAAGCCTTTTCTCAATCATCAGTGTTTTGCTTTGCTATGAATCAGAAGTCAGCTAAGGAAACTTCCCCATTTTGTTGGAGATAGACATCTTAAGTGTTACAGCAAGGAGCTTCTGGGTTTTATCAGCCAGGTCAGCCAATATGAGCACCCTTGAAGAGCCATGATGATATTAGCAGGTCCTCACTGTTTCTGCATGTCCCAAAACCAATCCCTCAGACCTTCCTGCCTGTTCTAGACAAAAGGGTGGGAACAGCACAGGGCACCACCACTTAAAGTAACTTTTGCTGCAACCTCTTCTCAAGGCAGAGAGGTGCAGAACAAAGTCAAAGGCAGGACTCCAGCAATAACCCCTGTGCACATCTGCCAGTCTGGATTTAACATGTTTAAGAATGAGTAAAGATGTTTGTATGCACAAGGCAAAAAGATTTTTCCACAAGCTGAATAAAATCTAGGGTTCTCTCTGAAGTGGTGACATAAGCACACACTGCTTATTTCAGAGAATCATCATGCCACTTAACTGAATTTGAAGAAATATATACTACTGCTCTTTTGAACTGTGCAAGCTGTATTTGGATTAACTTTTCCATTCCCAGATGTGTTTGGAAAAGACCTTTGTCCTAAAACAAAAGCTCTATCTGTGTATCTCCAGCACATCACTGACTGGACAGTGGAAAAAGTAATTTATTTTTTTGTTTTACAAATACAGACTATTGTTCTATACCCCTAAGCATAACAGGGCCAGGTGAATGCATTCAGTAATCAGCTCAAGCCTGGAAAATAACCAAATGAGACTACGCCAGCTAATAATGCATTTGAAACACTTTAGAAAGCATGCTGTGTGCATGTTTTGCCAGATACTACTCGACCAATTTTGTTTTACACGCAAGTTACTATGCCATGAAAGGGATACATTAAAAGGTAAGCAAGGCATAACAGTCACATAATCTTCATTTCTTGGAATAAGAGGGGTCAAGAGGAAGCTCAAGTTCACATGTGACAACAAATCAAAGTAGATTTCTTTCTTAATGCGTTTTTGCCAAAATTCTTGTCTTTTTTTTTCTAATGGTGATTAACCTTTATTTAGACACTTTCAGATCCTATCAACTCCACTGTAAGAGATCAGCACACAGCTTTCAAGCCCTTTTCAGACTCTGCATCTCTTTTAGATACTTGTCTATATTTTGAGCAGTTTAAATTCTATATGGTAGGTTAGGGGTAATGTTTGTGCAGCTTACCTTTTAAGAAACTGAAACTACTTGTCAAAAGCTTACATGAGTAATTGCAGAGGGCTGTATCAACAAAACAGTATTTAGGCACCCATCTACCTTCAGCTGCAATGAGAACTGCTACGCTGCTAAACAGGGGTGGGAATTTTAAATATGCCTTTGAACCTGTCTCAGCCTAACATTTCTCAAAACCAGCAGAGGCAGAGAGTGGCACAGCATTCTAGCAATGGCTAACATGGGGGTGAAGGGGAAGGAACTCTCTCTCACTTGTACTGCTGATGATCCTTTGTACTTCTTGTTTTTGCCATGAACCTCTCTGCCAACTTTTCCAGGTTTCGTGAATACTCCATCTCTATTTCCGACTTCTTGCGGAAGAAATCCTGCAGATCCTGAAGAAGCTGCACTCTCATTTCAGTCTGCTGCTCCAGGCATTTCTGCTGCTCGATGAGTTGAGCTCGGATCTCTAATGAAAGAAACACATACCCGCTCAGTTTCAGTGAAAGCAGATGAGAATTAAGTGTTACCAACCCAAATTATCAACACTCTAGCATACTTCAGCATCACAGCTGCACCAGCTGGACCTGGATTCAGATCCTGTGGTGGGAGATAGTAGTGGAAGCTCCCACTTCTGCCACCATTGACTTATGCCTCAGCATCCTCCCACCTGCTGCCTGTCTCACAAACAGCTATGGCAAAGGAGCAGGACTCTGCTGGGCTCGTGTGAGCAGAACACCTGCCTTCTCTTTCCTCTTCCATCCTCTTCCTGACCTCTGGCATTAGCACAGCATCTGACTTGGAGTCACCTCCTTGCAGGAGGTGGCATGCAACCATTTGAGCAGCAGCTCTTTCTGCTGCCCTGAAAAATGGCAGGATAAACAAGTAGTCTTTGGGCCAGCATCAGCCTACTGACTGCCAGGTGGACCATGCTGATTGGTATCATCATGTACACCATGGAAACAACCTTGTGACAAACTCTGGAAGCATTATCCACCATATCTGTGCACAAATGAGCTTCTGTATCTGCCCCATCTTTGCCAGGGAGGGAACTGGTGTACTAGGAATGGATTCATCAATATTTTACAGTGAATACAGAGGGAGAAGTTTACGTATATTTAGAAATAGCTATTTGAAGATTTGCACAATGTTCCAGAGACTGTGGTACACTCATTAACACAAAAAAAAATCAATTTAGAAGAGAATATATGCTCACAGTTATCATCTAGAGCAACAGGGAAAAGCCTCTAAATTTCTTACCACCATTTGCTATGTGCACAATTGCTATGTGGTAGGTTTTTTCCTTTTTTTCCCTTTTTTTTTTAGCACTTTTATTTCTTGAGTGCTAAGCAGTTGATCACATTCTGGGAGCACTGAGTCTAAAAACATCCCTCTGGTTCTTTTGAAAGACCAGTTCATTAGAGTTTTGTCAGCTGCCCAGGCACAGCGTTATCCAACATCGTGGAGTAAACACAGGAGTAAACGTTTTGTGACCGTAATACACATACGTATTTTTAAACAGTTTAATGATGTAACAGGGACTTATTGATACCAAAACAACATGCCAGAAGTGATGTCCATGTAAATGCAAAATTGTTGTGAACTTTTACTTGATTCCTAATGATATAACCATGCTGCAGGCAAGATGATATTGGAAATCTTAGATGCCTCACTGGCTTGAAAAAGAATAGCATTCTAAACCCCACTGCTAACATCACAGGGAACTGCAAACCAGTTAGTAGCAATAACACTACAAAAATGTACCTGATGCGACGAGGAGCTAATGCATCCTTACTGATCTTAAAGCAGGTATGAAGGCAGAGATCCATGCTGCTCTAATTCAAATGTGTATACTGAAATAAGGTAGTGTGAGCACAAATTACATTTAGTGTAAGCCAATGTGTTTACTGGAGGAGGGAGACACTGCAGTATTTTCTTCCAGATCTCCTTTAAGCTACCAGCTGCTGTGTTAATCATTAATGAGACCATCCATTTTTATAGTCTGGGAGGTGAACCAAAAAAATCATGGTTTGGTTTTCATTTCACTTCAAATCAGTTTGTTGGAAAAGGACCATGCCTCCAGCAAGGATAAGCCTCTGCAATACAACACTGTATCAATGACATTCATGTACATAGAGGAGAAAATCACATTTTCTAGAGCTGGAAGGTTATTAACCGAACCAAAATCCGAGGACTGCCTTTTTGGGTGTCTACTACTTTTAATACTGAAATCATGGGAAAATCCTGCATATAGAAGACAAGTTGTAGAGATTCACTGATCAGAAGCAGCAATGCTGCTCATAAGACGGAATTCTGACTAAACGCAAATCTATATAGTTTGGCCGTCTCCCTTTCCCACTACAGACTTTCTACCAGTTACTCAAAAAGCAGAGCTCTATACAGAGCAACTATGTTCTGATTATTTTGTAGGTCAGTGGATCTTGCTGCTATAATTCTTCCTTTTTAGGCAGGCTTTTACCATAGCAACAGGAACGAGATTTTAGAAACAGGAATATATGAATAGAGATACAATGAGCAAGGGATGACAGATACAATATGAGAAATTGCATTAGCTTTCTGATGCTGTCTGGACTTCCAGTGGACATTTGTGGCTTCCTGCAAACTTGTATATTAGAAAATAAAACTGGAGCATAATCGCTGAAAGCTGATGGTGGCTGAAGGTGTCTAAGCTCAGAGTAAGGTGGTAAATTAGGGGTACAGGGGGACTGCAGCTTTATGAAGGAAGTTCCACAATTGCTGGCTATTTGAATCTCGACAAGGAGAAAGAACATGCTGGCTCCAAAAGGATGAGCCTTGTGGCCTCTTGCTGGAGGAGAAAACGGGGAGACGTACATCTCACTCATGCCAGCTGACTAGAGTGTCCAGAAGAGACTTCAGCATAAAGTTCTCCTTCAAGTCTTTCATGTCTTTCTGCTCCTGCACTTTTTAATTCTTCTTTTACTAGTAACTTGTCTAATGCCATACTGGCAGGCTAAGGAGATGGCAATGAATAAGACATCAAATGAGCAAATGTTGTGATTTTCACTTTCTGATAAAAGCAAGCTGTGGATTTAAAAAAAAAAACAAACACCAACCAACCAAAAAAAACCACACACACACACACCCCCCCCTGCAATAAGTTCCTCACAAACACTGGCATAACCACCAGCCAGCCTGAGCAGCTGTGCATCCCAAAATCACAACTGCCCAAGTGCTAGTAACTAACCCACTACCTACTGTTATGGAAAAACGCACCACGGCAACGCTATCTTCTTCAACCAATCCACATGTGTGATTTCCCAGGGCTATGAAGAGTGGCATGGAAATTTGTTGCACAGTATTCAAAGACATAAATACCCAATATGCCGTGAATGTGCCAAGTTAAAGACTAGTAGAGCCCAAACTCCATAGATACGGAGACAGGTGCAGCAGGCAGCAGAAGGGTGCCTCTCTGATTTTGCTGGCACATTTAAATTCAAAGTCGAATTGATACCAGCTGTAATAGACAATGACATTGTCCTATTCTGCTCTGCAGGGTAGCTGATGTCAAATGATTGCCAGGCTACTTTGTGTCAGGAACAGGCAGTTTAAAGCCTGGATGAATTAACACCTTCTCCTTCTCTGTATAGCAGCTTTGAAGTCATGCTCACTGGTTTTCTGGCCAGGGGCTGGTTCAAAAGGAATCTCATCCATTTTCACTGCAGCTTGAACAGACTGAATTCACACCAAATAGGAAAAAAAACCCACCCTTTGTCCAAGATTTGCACACACAACCAAAGCAAGGAAGCAGCTAATGTGACCATAATTAAATCAATAATCTCTGAGTAAAGTTTTATTTTTAAAGATGTTCACGTTAAAAATTATTTAAACTATGCCCTCATTGACACCATCCTCTAGAATTACTCCATAAAGTATAAAATTTAGTTTTATTTGTGGCAGTCTTCAAGATATAACTCTAGCCTTTCAAGAAATCTTTATTTTCTTCTGACAAGAGGTTAAGTCAGAGCACTATGAAAAGCAAAAGGAGACAAGATTATAGCTGTTTTGAGAGTTAAACATAGAGTGGATGAAGCTGAACTACTGACATCACTCAAATCATAATCAGAAATAAACTCATGAAGGTTACCTCTTTGCACACAGGATGGTATTACAAGTAATTACTTACATAGCACTGCAGTAATACACTGTATTACCCTGGAGAAGATAGGCGTAACCAGTTATAGGCCAGTGACCCTCCTGAAGGTACCCATGGTGAGACATACTGCAATGTGACACATAACAATGATGCCGGCCATACACCACCAAGGAACCAGACTCGTCGCCTTCACTTTCACACACACCAAAGCACCAGGCTCCGTCACATCCCAAAAAGCCATGGGAAACCTCCACAGAAGCCAGACACCTTGTAAATGCACAATATTAACCAAATTAACCCCAGACCAACACTCTGCATGCAGACTGCCACCCCACCGTGGTACTCCCCGCTGCAACGCCTGCATCCCTGCCCTGTGATGCTGTAGAGCCCCTGACACCCTGCACTAGGCTGTGCCTAGTCTTGTCAGCCCTCGAGACCTTCCAGACCACCACGAACCCCCATTACCAGCTCTTGACCAAAGCAACTCTAATGAACACTTCACGGTGCTGTTACATGCCTGCCCAAGCCACCCCAAATGCTGTTGCAGCCTGCCACCCTTAATTCACATTTAAATGGTATTAACTCTTGTGCTTGCAGAGCAGCTCTGCCAAGGTTTCTGGTGTTTGCTGAAAAATATTGAAGGTGTCATGGGCCAGACACCTCGCCCTGGTTACCCCTCTGCAAGCCTCCCACCTGCTGCGTCACCCTGCCTGGCAAGGAGCTATATTTAAGTCAGGATTACAATACATGAACTACACATTAATGCAGTAGTATTACTGGATAATAATACAGCCTCAGGGCCTCACCCTGCAAAAGATTATAAAAGCAAGCAGCTCACCAGAACTATTTGAAAGTATAGAATGGCTCTCACAAAGCACAGTTATGTCTGCACGTTTTATCTGCTCGGGTAACTTCAGACAAAGCTGTATCACCTCCCATCTTTCTTTATATACCTCCTTCACAGAAAAATTACAACTTTAGATTAGTTTTAAACCATTCAGAAATGTCTCATCGAAGACACTAAGGACAACACCTTGTATTTTAGACTTTTCATTTCTAAACCATTACAACTTAGTAATTTTTTTTTATCCCTGTGAGCTATCAACACACATATCCCTCATTGTCACATTTATGGTATCTGGATCATATTTCATAGGAAAAGATTCAGATCTTAAATTCAGCCTAGATGTCATCTGATAACCGACATGCACTTGTAATTAACAGATACTGGAGCATTAATCATCTTGCAGTTCCTCCATGAAGACACTCGAGTCTCGGTTATTTAGAGTAAGAAAGGCTCATGTCTGAGCCTGATGTTAGAAGCTGGGGTGCTGCATTGGGGGACTGATCTTTCCAGTTTTATCCCAGCCTTCTGCCTTTGTAAGGCCTTGTGTTTGGCTTCTCCGTCAAGATGAGCAGAGCTTTGGTCCAGCTGACTACAGCGAGCCAACAACTGGAGTTTAGGTTTTGTTTCAGGAAGGTGCTTAGCTGCAGCCCACCAAGGAAACCACAGCAGAAATCACTGACAGGGGCCTGGAGGAGCCCCTGTGCACAGATAGTAGTCCTTAATGCCATCTCACTCCTAGGATCGGTGCTCACACGTCTCCCAGGGATGTTATCCTGCGTCTCAACAGACAAGATACAGATGATGAGAAGTATCAGCCCTGTAGTGGGTGCTTTGCCCCAGCTGCTGATACTCCTCTCTGAGATACACAGCCTGAAGGTACTAGTATTGAACAAGTTTTTATTTCCCAGAGCCATTTCTCAGGCTAGAAAGCTAGTATTTCTATGACAAATGGCAAGGAAAGCTCTGTGGCTGGCAGGGAGTCTGGCTCATGGTCTCTTCCAGGTCCTTGCTGCCATTT